CGATTCAAAAGTCGTACCTCGTACCCCAAGTGATCTTATCTGTTCGATGGCTGCCACGTGCGATATAAAGTTGATTATGTGACATTTGCCAAATTTTTAAATTCTTATTGTTATTTTTGTCTTAAACTTAATCTTAGATCTTATATTAATTTTAGTTAATCTTCAGAATTATTTAGGTATTTAAAAAATGATGTATAATGGTTAAAAATTGAGTGTTGATGTGGGTTAGTTTTATGTGTATTATAAGTGATTTAACATAAACAAAAACAGGTTAGTTTTACTTATAAATATTACCGATTTTAATTTTGTGCAATACAATTAACAAACATTTTGAAATTTACCATGTACCTATTTGAGATACAGTTTAGTTTAATAAAAGTTTATAAATTTTGTATAGTTGTCAGTTCAAAAGGTAAACAGAGTTTTATCAAGAAACAAAAACAGAAACGGTTTAATTAGACTAAATTTCATTGATTGTTTAGAATCGCGAGCTCTTACTGGCTGAAATGACACAATTTTATTAATTTGACAAAAATAATCAAACTGTAACTCGTATATTTTATGGGACCTCGCTCTGCTCGTCTCGCGAGGATTCACTCGTTACATAAAATAAGGCATTTCGTAACTAGTTACATAAATAGCTAGTGCTACTAGTAAACAATCTCTAATCTTGATTGTCTTGGTTAGTAATAATTTAATAAGAAATTAATGTTTTTATAGTAAAATAAAAAAGTATTCAAGAGACAGCGGCGATTATAATTATTTAAAATTTACGCGTTATAAAATGACAAAATATTTACTTACATTTTAAAATCTGCAAAATTGCTTGTTTGGCGCATTACTAATAATAGTTTGCATTACACATTATTGCTATATTATACAAACAAATAATCGAAATTACCATAAACAATTACTGAAGAACTCTTCATCATAACACATGCACGCCACATGACTAACAAAATTCACAGCTGCATCGTGAACTACTTACAAGATTCGTTAACATTTCAAAATAAATAAAAAAGAGTACTTAAGTTATTAGGTATTTACTTACCGCAGCAGCTCCGAAAATTGGGATCGAGTAACTTCTTCCATTTTCGTTGTTTTAAGTTACACATCACACATCACAGGACAGGCACAAGTATATAAATTACACTTCACTTTTCGAAAGAGCACAAAGGGACGCTCCCTTCTAAGCAGGATGGTTAAAAATTAATTTTAATTGAAACTAATAAGGCAGAAGCGCTACACTGTTTAAACTAAACAGAATGAATGAGTATAGTTTGGTCAAAAACCCGCACCAAGTGTATTAGTCATTTTATTAATCATGCGTTTTCATTGGAAATTACTTTTAAGTAAACGATGTAGTAACTGATACTACTGATAAATATGTAGGTAAAAAGTACTTACCTGTACCAATAATTAATCTATAAACAATTTTTAAATTTAACGAACGTTATATTTAACAAATCGTTGCGTAAATAATAAAGCACTTCAAAAATGATTTTCGTTAGGTAGGTATATATGTATCTATTTGACGTGCGCTTCCCATATTTCCTGTTTCGTAAAGATTATTTTACTATCTTATCTCAAAAGTATCCTGTTTGAAATTATTTCGATTTCTTTGAAAAATAATGCAATCTATTGGCGGGCTATTAGTATAGATATTTATTTTATTTACTATCAACTTTATTTTAAATATATGGATATTTAAATTACCTTTCAAGGATAAATAATTGATTTCATAAAATTAATTACCAATAAAATGTACCTAAATCAAAATAACGAGACATAATGCGTAAATTCATTATTGTTTCATCTTTGTGCAATCCGGCCACAGACGACATTTGTTTTGTTTAAAGGTTGTTATCAATTTTATTATACAGGGTTAATATTTACGGCTGTATTAGAGATATCTGTATCTGTATGTTGATCCATAGCACATAGTGCCTTAAAATCTAAGCATAGTCCCTATTAGACCATTGTGTAATCTCCAGGGGCATATATAGTGTGTTTACTGAAGTCGTCATTATATGGGAAACTTTGTTATTATTAAATTTATGCAAAAATGTTATTTTTTATAAAAATGTTTGCATGGTCTAAAACCCAAAATTCAACCGTCATATTTTGCGCACTGCATGTAAACTATATAAGATTTTTGTATTTTAACCTTTATGGTCATCAATCAAGCAAAAATCCAAGAAATAATTTATCTATAAATGTTTAACAATATTAAGACTTTTTAATACTTCAAATTGTGACAAAATTTTACACTACCTAATTTTATTTATTTACAATGTTTTGGAGGTTGGAAGATTATCCATTTTCGACATGGAGGCAACTGTCGAAGAGGTGATAGCACTTGATCCTGAAATTTTAGTCTAAAATTTTATTTGATATTTAAATTATATTATTGATAGAATCTTCCACGCAGTAGCGGCTCGTCGTAATTTAAAATGGGTGTTTACTTTTTCCAATAATTTTATCATTTGTAAGTTCGGTTCAAAACCTTGTACAAGTGTAGTTATTATTATCAATATCATACTGTTTTCAAGCACTACAACTATTAGTGAATGAATAAATGAATATTTTAGTTATCATATTTGTTTTTAATACGTTGAAAACCAACTATAAACATTAGTCAACTGACTTTTCTTCATATTTTAAGACTATTTTTAAATGTAGGAAGTTTGACATTGATTTTTGTGTAAAAAATATTACATGATTCTTTACCTACTATTTTTCAATTTTTATTGTAAATTTAATCATTTTCACTATTTGTCACACATATCAAATAAAATAATATATTTTTTTAAATACTCTTTATTGGCAAAAAACAAGTGTACTAATTTGTGTATTTTATAAATTCAGTCCCATCACAATATATACCTATATATTTTTCATAAATCGGCAGGCTTGGCGACTACTTTCGAATAAAAATAGCCTCCAAAATGGCTATGGTTGCAAGTATGAAGGTCGCAACCCGCCTTAGAAATTTTAGCTTTACTATTAACAGCTGTTGTTTGACAAGTCATTAAAAAATATTTGCAATTTACGGAATGTTAGGAATGTTGATGTTAGAAATAATTGGAATTCCTAACATTGTCACATAAGAAATGCATAGGCGGATTTTAAGAAAATTGATATTAAAGTAGTTAGGATGAACCGAAAATTCTGAAAATCAATAGGGTTTTAAGTTAGAAGTAATTATTCAAGAAAAAACCGCAAGTCAATCAGAACTTTCGTTCTAGAGTTATTGTGCTGGCATACATACACACAGACGACCAAATTTTTTTTTTTGTATATTCGGAAACGTGAAAAAAAGTTTTAAAAAATGGGGATAAGAAAATTTTTTCGTCTGCACGAAGGCCCCATAGGAAGGGGTTTAGTAAAAAAGGCACACGTTTGTGTTAGTAGCAAATTAGCAAACACATTTTTATAATGAATAGCTTAGTTAGAATGCTGAAGGTGATAATGAATTACTAAATACTTTATTTTTTTACAAGATAGTTGCTAGTTGCAGTTTTTAGTGGAGAAATGCTATTTATGCATCCCTGTGTAGGGCAGGGAGTGTGGAGCTCGCCCGGGGTTCGTCCATACGCACTGTCATCCAGTGACGGCTCGTGGGCACTAGCGGCAGTGGGGCACACACTGGAAAGGAATCCCGGGATTCGTTTTTCCCTTAGGAAAACAAGTTCTCCGCTTAATGGAAATTAAATATATTTCAAAACAATCAGTTGGAGCAATAACGATTTCTGAATGTGATTACAGGGAGCTAAATGTGACCACTCAAAATGCATTTAACTGTGTATGTGGCTATTTAAACAAAAAATCATTACATATCAACTCTTGCGAAATTTGCATAAATTTCTCAGACGAATGCAATTTACTTAACAATTCTAACTTGTTAACGCATTTTAAAGCATACTACTCTGAAGAAAAGGTGTTTGGCAATTTAAAATCTCCCAGCGAAAAAGTTCTCTTTTATATTTTCAAATTAGAAATAGTATATTACATTACGAGTGTGGAAAATTACTTTTCACACGAGTGATGTACATCTTTCCTACGACCACAAAATAATGTCATCAAAAAATGTAAAACCAAGGTTATTATTACTATAATAATTAAAATGTATTTAAAAAAATAATCAACAATAATCGTATTTATTTAATTTTCATATTTTCTAAGCAAAAAAAAAATAAAAAACAAAAAAAAAATTCTACCCCGCTAGGATTTGAACGCGGTCTCAAATGGCAAAGTTGATAAGTTCGACGTCCTAACCACCTGAGCTAATAGCCCTTGTGTCAATCGAATGATCTAATCGGTTATGTATTTAACCAGAATAAAGAGCAAACATTATTTTAAAATTATTTTAATAATAATTGTTAAAGATAAATATCTAGTACCTATCTAATTTACAACAAATTCAATAATTTAACAATCATATCGATTTTAGTATTAATATGGACATTACATAGATCAAAATAGAAATTAGGTGTTTGACATTTTGTGACAACTACTGCGGAAAGTAACTTATTCGTACACGGGTGGAAAGTAATTTCTTATTTATACGCGTGTGATATAGGGCACTTTCCATAGGACTATATAGTGTGATTTGTGTCACTTTCCTAAGTGGTCGTAGGAAAAATATTTATATCTCTATTTGATAGTTTGTCAACTAAGCCTGGAATTTCCAACGCATACCTTTTTGAGATGAGCAAAATAGAATTTGGTCATCCTTGTTAACAATTTGCGAAAATGTACACCATTAAATTATTTATAAGACTCAGACTTTTTTATAATCTTAAATATGCAAACAGATTTGAAATCCTCGAAAAAGTCAGACAAAACCAAAAGAAAAATTAAAATTGCACAATATTATGTTACCCGACGTCTTCATAAAAAATTTGTAAGTGGGCTCCTTTACTATTACCTATGTCTATTCACAAAAATAAGTAGGGACATAAATATCCAAATATATTTTAAGAGTTTGTCACATTTACATTATGCTGAGACCTTTTAATTTGTAGTTTCTAATTCTCGTATTTTCAGTAAATGTACTCATGAACTTATGTACCGTATGCCTTGCTGGGAAACATTGACCCAAGAATTCCAAAAATAATGGTTGTTTTAGGACGTTAAACCTATAGTCATCATACGATATTCTACCATCTCTATCCAAATCTAACCTCTTTAAAATCACTTCTACCATATCTTTGACCATTTCTTCAGCATCTGACTCGCCGGTATTGCTTTTCAGGAAGGTTCTCAACAATCTAAAATCAATATATTTGATATTATTTCGTTTTTCAACAACTATTCACTTTAAAAATTTAATTAAAATGACTATTCTTACTTAAAAAGTTGTTCCTTTGCAAGTAATCCAGATTGTCCTTGATCATATACCTTAAAACAAAACGCCATTTTCTCTTCTATAGTTCCTCTTAATAATAGCGATAAAGCTTTAATAAAAAACTCTTTAGATATGTATAGATCTCTGGACTTTTCATCTAAACACGATATAATTCTTGTTAATGTATCGGTGTTGGTCATATCCAAACAGCAATGACATACTTCCATAAATTGATCTCGAGTAATACCTTTTGGGTCGAATGTTTCAAACTTTTGAATTTTAAAATACATAATTAAAAGCGTTTGAACCTAAAACAAATAATTGTTTTCTTTTGTCATCTCGAAAGCCCAATGCGTCGATTGGCCGATATTCATGAGAATTTTTAATTAATTTACGTGATTCGTTGTAGGTTTGATGGGTGCCGTATCGGTACCTGTAACGTGTGGACGGTGTGTTAACCCACAGCAATTAGGCTCATTGATAGATACCTCCTAGGTCGTGAGTCAGCCTACAGAATTATAATGTAGTTGACAACTTCATTGCGAGGTGCTTCTCTTATGTCGGCCGATGTTAGCCAATTCTCGGCGACACAAATGTTCTAATAAATGAAAGCGTCAAGCAGTCGTAGAGGATATGTTCGATGGTCTCATCTTCTTGTTCGCAAATTCTGACAGCCCCATGAAATAGAGATGCTTCTGTAATTGGGAATGACCAGACAGAATGCATGTGATCAAGCACAGATTCTATCTGGTCATGGTTAAGTATTTGTTTGCTGTCATTGAGATAGAATAAAGATGCTATGACAATAGTAAAAGTGTCCGCACCTTTTCATTACACTTTTACGTCATATGTCAAACTCGAGCTATTGGAGCTAGTCAGTTTTGCTGAGAATATATGCGATTTTTTTTAAAATAGTTTCATTTAAATGATAATATAAAAACATTTTTATTGCATCAATCTTCAAATATAAAATTATTAACTTTGAATAAATCAAAGTACGACTTTAAGTCGCCATTTTCATAACAATTTTCCATCACTCAAAATGCATACAGCTGTCATATCACACCTTAGTGTCTATACCGTCTCTACTTCATTCTATATCGATGGTTTGCTGTAGTGTTGTCAGGATTACTTAAAAGCTCCTTGCTTCTTATTTCATCCCATATTTCTGTTTTGAATTGGGTTTGTTACTACCGTGTTAACAGTCCAACAGAAAGGCCAAGTACCAGGTCCAAAAAGTATTTGGTTGCCTGCCTTCTTGGCTAGTGAATTAGCAAGACGTGTACCTTTCGATAGGTTTTATGGTGGCCGTATAAGTTCATGCGTCGACTATGGAGTAGAGACCACAGATGCGCCGCACGGTTCGAAGGCATTGTTCATAAGCAATGTATGCTTTTTTACTCTATTTTCTAGGTGTGAGTTTCATGTTAACATGCTGTCAAAGGTGAGACCTATAGGTACTTCACTTCTGTTTAGTTTAGTTTTGTATTCAGGAGGTCTGTGTTGATGTATCTACATTTACATACCCTTATTATCTACAGACTATTACTTTGATTTGTATTTTGCTTTTGTTCTGGTAGTTAAGGTTTTTTCCAATATTGATTGATAATTTTTTTTTTGATTAAAGTATTACGAAAAGTCATTCAAGTTTTCTTTTTCCGAAATAGTAGATAAAATAACAGTATCCACTGGAAAACATCAATAGGTTATGAGCCCAGGCTTACCGTATTGTTTAAATCTGTACCTAACGTTACAATAAGTAATATTTGTTCCGGCGCAAGTAGTTGCTTTTAAAAAGAACAATTATGGAAGTAACTAAAGTTCAGATTGGTTTGCTAGAAGGAAAAACAAACTGGAGTACATGGAAATATAAGTTGTATATTTTGCTACGTGGAATACCAGGTGCAACTGATGTAATAGAAGGCAAGCTAGTAAAACCAGCACCTTTGCCTGCTCAGGCTACTGAAGATCACCGTAAAAACTATGATACACAGTTGGCGTATTTTACCAAAGCAGAAACCAACACACTCCTAGTACTTACAACAAATATGACAGAAGATACTCTTCAAAAAATTATGAGGTTTAATACAGCACGAGAAGTGTGGTTAGAGCTGCATAGGTTGTTCGACGGTAAAACAGAAGACAAAACTTACGATTTGTGTACAGAATTCTTCAGTTATAAAAGACAACAGAGCGATGATATAGCTACTCACACATCTAAGTTAAAAAACCTTTGGAATGAACTTCAACAAGAGATCGCTAAAGATAAATTAACGCTACAGAATCAGTGTACATGTGATTTACCCGAATTGTTACTCATTTGCAAAATACTTGGTACATTACCTGAAGAATATTTCTCCTTTAAGTCTAGCTGGCTACTGATGGCGAAATCCGAGAGATCTGTAGACAATCTCACAAATCAGTTATGCGCCTACGAAAAAGCATTATGTAACAAAAGCGATAGCAAAACCGAAGAAGTTCTAGCTATAGAAAGAAGTAAAGTCAACAAAAAGTTTAAGCCTAAGAAGAATCTGATTTGCCACTATTGCAAGCAAGCTGGTCATAGAGTTCGTCAATGTACCAAATGGAAGGCCGACGGACGTCCTCCAAAGCCCCAGACAAACAATAGCAATAGAAGGGATCAAGACAAGGACATAAATTTAACACTAGTAGCACTTAGTTCTGAAGTTTTAAGTATAGAAAATGATCCAGACAACTGGTTTGTAGATAATGGTGCTACAAATCACATCACCAGTAGATATGATATCTTTCAAACATTTGAACACTTTGATTCTGGTTATACTGTTACCACAGCCAATGGTGACGCAATACAGGCAGTTGGCAGAGGATCAATAATAGTAAAAGCCACTGTATATGGCAAATCAGAACTTCTTAAACTAGCTAGTGTCTGGTATGTTCCTGGCATAAAGAAAAACCTTTTTTTCTCTATTAGCTGCACAAGACAAACATCCCAACAGCGAGTTTCGTTCAAGAACAGAAGATTGCAAATTATTAATCGATGGAACAGTCAAATTAGTAGGTGTTCGAAATCGATTCGGAGGACTGTTTAAATTAGCTCTTCAAAACGTAGCTCCTGTAAACCAAGAAATAAACGAGTTGTCGGCTGGTAGCCTGTTGCAGCTATATCATGAAAGATTTGGACACCAAAATAAGAGACATGTAAAATCTCTTATCGATCGTGAATTAGATATAAAAGTACCACTAGATAGTGAATTATGTGAAGGATGCATTTATGGAAAAGCACATAGATTAAAATTTGGTACTCGAGAACGTACAAAAGAAGTTGTTGACAAACTAAAAATAATGTTAGCTGAAGCCAAAGTCCGAGGACACATAGTCAAAGAAATGCTCTGCGATAACGGAGGTGAATTTACCAGCAGAGAAGTTCGAGATGTCTTACAGCAGAATGGAATCAAGCAAAGGTTAGTCATGCCCTATACACCTGAGCAAAATGGGTGTTCTGAAAGAGAAAACCGCACTGTTGTAGAGACAGCAAGGGCTCTTATGCACGCTAGAGAAAACATACCACAATTTCTTTGGGCTGAAATGATAAATACTGCCGCATATATCCTAAACAGATCAGGTGTCTCTAGTAAAAGTAACGAATCTCCCTTTGAAGTTTGGATGAAAAAGAAACCGAACCTGAAGCACTTAAGAGTTATAGGGTGTACCTGCTATGCACATATACCAAAACCACGTCGTAAGAAAATGGACAAGAAAGCTGTAAAAGGCATATTGCTCGGCTATGACAACGATGATGGATATCGCGTATGGTGTAAAGAAACTAAGCAACTCATAAGATCAAGAGATGTCATCTTCGAAGAACAACCTTTAGTCGGATTGAATGAATTCTCGAAGATCCGAAGAGAAACAGAAATTGAAGGTGTTGAAGATGAACAATCAAACTTAGGAAGTTGCTTCGAAAACGATGAAAACTCAATTACATTAAGCACCGAAGAAATAGAGAAAGACGATATAGACGTAGAAAGTTCAGAACAAAGACCTTTGATTGAAAAAAGACAGTTGAGGAAGCGTGAAGAGATAAAACCACCAACCAGGTTTGAACATTTTGTAATGGAGGCCTATGCAACATTTGTAGAATACAAAGAACCACCACAAAACTTTCAAGAAGCTATACAAAGCGATTTTAGTCATAAGTGGAAAGATGCAATGGACAAAGAGATAAGCTCCTTGTCAGAAAATGGCACTTGGGTTCTGCAAAATCTGCCTCATGGAAAAAAAGCCATTCCCTGTAAATGGGTCTACAAAATTAAAACTAACCCGAATGGTTTTGTCGAAAAATTCAAAGCCCGATTGGTGATAAAAGGATTCTCTCAGAAATACGGCGAAGACTACGATCAAACATTCAGTCCTGTTGCTAAATCGGGGACTATAAGAGCTCTTCTAAGTATTGCTGCAAGTGAACAAATGAGCCTAAGTCAGTTTGATGTCTCCACCGCATTTCTCTATGGACACTTAGAAGAAGAAGAAGAAGTGTACATGAAACAGCCGGAGGGATATCAAGATGGAACAAGTAAAGTATGTCGCCTTCAACGCAGCCTTTATGGACTCAAGCAGGCACCAAGATGTTGGAATAAAAGAATCGTAGACTTCCTTCTAAAACAACATTTTAAGCAATCTGATGCCGATCCATGCTTGTTTATCAAAAAAGAGGGGACAGATATTCTTCTCTTAGGTCTATATGTTGATGACGGACTTCTGGCAACCAGTAATAAAATTTTGGAAAAGGAATTTTATATGAATTTGGAGAAAGAATTCAAAATTACAGCGAAGGCAGCTTCCTATTTTTTGGGGTTAGAAATTGACACTGACAAAAATGGTTCTATTCGTGTCAGTCAGACAGCTTACATAAAGAAAATTTTAGAGCACTTTGGAATGCAAAACTGTAAAGCTGTGTCTACACCAATTGTCAAAGGAACTAACCAACCAGGGAAGGTAGATCAAAATGAAGAAGAAAAATTTCCTTATAGGCAAGCGGTTGGCGCCCTTATGGTAGGAACTAGGCCAGATATAGCGTATGCAATCGGAATTGTATCAAGATCACTAGAAAAACCAACTCACAGTGACTGGATGCAAGTGAAGAGGATTTTTAGATATCTTAAAGGTACAATGGAACTTGGAATTACGTACACAGCTAATAGTAAGGAGAGATACCTACAAGGGTACAGTGATGCCGACTATGGAGGAGATGATCAAACAGGAAAGTCAACTACGGGTGTTGTGTGCAAGTATGCCAATGGTGCTATCTCCTGGCTAAGCCAAAAGCAGACATCTGTAGCTCTTTCTACAACAGAGGCAGAAATAGTAGCCGCCAGCGAAGGAGCCCGAGAACTAATTTGGCTAAAACGTCTTTATAACGAGATAATTGATCTGCAGTGTATTCCGGATCTACTAGTTGATAATGAAGCAGCTATTAAGTTAGCAAAAAATCCGGAATATCATAGAAGAACAAAACATATCCAAACAAGACATTTTTTTGTTCGAGAATTGGTAACCGAAGGCTCCATTAACGTAGAAAAGGTTGATTCAGAACATCAGTTAGCTGATATGCTGACAAAACCTCTTTCAAGACCCAGGCTCGAATATTTAATGAAGAACATTGGCCTAATAATAGAAGATAATAAATTATTTAATGAGGGAAGGTGTTGATGTATCTACATTTACATACCCTTATTATCTACAGACTATTACTTTGATTTGTATTTTGCTTTTGTTCTGGTAGTTAAGGTTTTTTCCAATATTGATTAATAATTTTTTTTTTGATTAAAGTATTACGAAAAGTCATTCAAGTTTTCTTTTTCCGAAATAGTAGATAAAATAACAGTATCCACTGGAAAACATCAATAGTCTGGAGGTTTAAGTTCCATTTTCATCATTTTTTTGAATGGTCCTTACACCACTGCTCTATAATTTTGAGAGCAGAATTGCCAGGTCATTTATATACGATATTGTGTAGAGACTGTAATCTGTTGATAAGGGAGTCTAGGACCATGTTTCACAGTAGAGGTGATAGTATTCTTCCCTGTGGACATCCCCTCGCAACTAATCCTCTTATACTCACATCTTCTACACATCGAAATATCATCAGAATTGATTTATAGATACCAGTTGTGAACAGTGAAAATGTTAATCTACTTAAATTAAAAATGTTTATTGTATTAGAATGGCCCGATTATATGTAACTTTCTCTCTTCTTACAAATAGTACCTTATTTATTTACTTACTTCTTCGAAGCTAAAATGGTATATTTTAGAAAGGCTCTGTGCTAAATTCTGGTACGTTGCGAGGAATCTCGTTTCCTCCATTGAGTTAAGAGTGGTGTCGAAACGAGACATTTTATATTACTTTTCTAACGTGCAATGGTTCCCAATAAAAATTAACTGAAATTTTATGAACCGATTTACTAAATACACAGAACTTTAAATGATCAAAGATGACATTTCAAGTTATGTTGACAGATGGAATATTTAAGGCATTTCCACAGTTTATTGCTAAAGCTATAAACTGTGGTGTTATAAATATTCAATATAATTTATATTCCACCTGCTGCCATATTATGCCAACAAAAAAAATCTGATGTGTCCAACACATGACTTTCCTATCTAGTTATTATAGGCTTTTTCCGGTTATTTTGTACAACCTATTGCAGCACCTCTATAAATGTTTAGAGGATAAACTAAATATATACATTTTCTACATACATCTAACTCGACACATTTTTCTATAATATATATTCCATAAAATTTAAAAACGGCCTCCCATAAAGTACCCCCCCCCAGATGTTCCGCCTTCGTCCAAAATCTAATCATTTCACCTCAGGCCGAAATAAAACTTAAGTTTAAAATTTAATTTTTATGCCTTTATCCGTTTTTGACTTTTCTTCAAAATTCGAAATTTACACATTTTCTCAAATATCTCGAATACGGTCCATTTTAGAGAAATTATGCATAGAATAAAAATTATAGAGAATTATATTACAAACAACTTTTATTTGAACAATTTTTATAAAAAATTATTTTTTTTACATTTTGTTAAATTTCTGGAATACGGACCATTTTAGGAAAATTTTATATGGAACAAAAATTATAGATGATAATATTGTAAGTAACTTTTATTTAAAGAATTTTCTTCTCCAAACGTAAATAACGAATATATTCCATAAAATATAAAAATGACCACCAGTAAAGTACCCCCCAAATGTTCCGACTCTGTCCAAAATCTAATCTGTTCACCGCAGGCCGGAATAAAGCTTAAGTTTCAAATTTGGTGTTTTTCTTTGTATCGATTCATGAGTTATGGTGGATACAGACACACACACACACACACACCCACACACACACACACACACCCACACACACACACACACACACACACACACACACACACACACACACACACACACACACACACGCACACGCACACGCACACGCACACGCACACGCACCCACACGCACACGCGCACACACACACACACACACACACACACACACACACGCACACACACACGCACGCACACACACACACACACACACACACACACACACACACACACACACACACACAGACAGAGACAGAGACATCATCCCGAAAATAGTCAATGAATGACGCTTTTCCATGTCAATGGATTGGACGGAGAGGTCCAATCGAATGGCCGGCGAGATCTCCCGATCTAACACCTCTTGACTTTTTTCTCTAGGGACATTTGAAATCCATTGTATTTTAAACAAAACCGGATTCAATAGAAGATCTTCGGCAACGGGATAAAGTAGACTTCTAAGGCCTTATAGCAGATGTTATTACATTAGTCGAGTCAAATACACCATCAATATTAAAAATGATAAAAAAAATCAGGAACTGAGAAAACTTTTAATTATTTGCTGATAAGCCCGATAAGTAAAATAGAAGAAAGGGATACATTTTGGAGATCCCTCCTCTCTCTTCGTGCAGGTGAACATGTAAATTACTTTTAACTTTTATACTCTTAATGAACGCCAGATGTGAATGCTGAAACATTACTATCAGACCTGGCAACTTTTGCAGCATGTGAACGTACTTTCTGTGCATAGGGATGGGGCAGATATATTAACAAATGATAGGGATGGAAAATTAGTTTATATCTCATAATAGCATTATAAACGATGTCGACCTTGTTCCTAATAATCCAAATGTTGCATGTGTTTGTTGGGGGTTGATTGGCCTCAGACTAATCTATTGGCTATAGATATTTTATATTTTGTTTTTTATTTGTTCTATTAATTTATCTTTAAATAATATTTTTTTAGACTTAAGGTAATTAATTAAGCAATCTAGAATCTTTTTGTTATTTATACTAAGTGAAGAAACAAGATTGGTTGGGAGACGATTTCCTTGGGTTTTTCATCAAAGTATTACTATTTAATTTTTGATTTTTACAACCAAAGAAATAAATCCAATTGTTTTTGACCCTAGTCTACTGAGTTGCAGTGGATTAAATAATAATAATAATAATTTGCAACACTTAAAAACAAAAAAATACATATTTTTTAAATAATTACAGATTTGTCAAAACGACGACAGAAATTGGGAAGATAATAAATTGGATTAGTAGCATAAGAACTCTTCATTAGCGTAAACAAAATTAAGTGGTAAACTGGGACTAGTAGAAGATAGCGAGTGCAGATTCTGTGAGGTACATATTTTTACTAACGACTCCAATTCGCGGTAGTTTTGATGCTATTTTTCAAAAAACTTTTTTGGCGTCACGCCATCACTATCATCAGCGGGCAATGGTATCTTGCTATTTATGTTTCTGCCCATACTGTTAATAAAATAAATAACTTGAATAATAATATTGTTACTAGTGCTAGTAGGTATGCTTCATCAGAAATTCGTCAAATTCGGATCTATAATTCAAATAAGATTTAATAAAGTCCAAAACCAAGATTTGTTTTGTTTTTAGTTGGGAATAGAGTCTTTTGAAATAGATAATTCAATTTTCTAAGATTAAATTACTCTAAAATATATTTTATAATGTGTTTTTTGGCTAGTAATAATATTTTAAAATTTTTGCAATACTTTATAATCGGTAATTTAGCGTTATCATTTTATCAGGCATAAAAATAAACAACATTCTGTTGCTGCAAAAAATTATAAGTATTAATATTTTCACAAATACGTTCTTTTTTGTTGGCTTAAAAACGTGTAAACATTTTATTTTAAATATTCTTATTAATAACAATTTGTTAATTGATGTAACACCGAAAAACCTTCTACGAAGACTTTCTCATGAAGATCTTGCTCCAATTGTTGCTTTTACAACACAGGAATCGTGCTTGAAAACGTTACCAGCAGACCGGTAGTGCCAATATACAAAATGGTGGTGGTCGCCAAATGGCCCAATCCAAGTTCAAAGTCCAAAATTTTGTAGGTAGGTACATGAAATATTCTTTGGACATGTAGATGATTTATGGATGAGTAACTCACTGGTTAGGTGGAGGTAGAACAGGAACCAAAGTTTAGCAGAAGAAGAACCATTTGAAAAGCTAAAATTTATTCCCAGTCCATATCTTATCGTGTATGTTTATTTTATTTTCATTACGTAAATTATATTTTAAGACTACTAAAATTTCATATTTTCATTACAAATTTTAATTTTTTATTTAATTTCACTTTTAAACTAAATTTATGTATACTGAGTAGTGACTATGTTAGTTATTTTAAAAGTACTAAATAAATAAATAGGTACTAACAGTTGTTAATAATTGAATAGTAAGCCCAAATAATATTTTTTTTTTCTAAAAACCTTAAAAATACATTTCAAAAACTAATATGTAGCTACAGAAATTCTTATACCTTCATTGTCAAATCAAAGCAAATATGTAGACCAAAATATAAAATCTAAAATTTGCAAGATGAGAATGTATAATTGAACACTTATTTCATATTGTAGTGAAAAAGCCACTTGGGGAATGTAAAAAAATAGTTAGCTGGAAACTTGGAATATATAGGCGGCATATATACTAGAACCAGCCATTGATGTTTTGTTAATAAACTTGAACTATTTTAATACGAAGTTTGGCTGATTGTCTCCGTATGGCGTTCTTTAATGTCGAAGAGGACAGCTATTCATTGTTGAAACCAGACCAACATACTACTAGTAGTTGGTTGCTTAATTATTATTAGTAGGATAATATAAATGACAAGTTAAATTGGTTTAGATATTTTAGATAATAAACATGAGTTGTAATATTAATAAAACCTATTACATAAAAATAAAAAAAAATATATATTAATGTTAAATAATTACAGGTTTGTCAAAACGACGATGATGATGCTGACACAGATTGGGACGATGTGGTAAACTGGGACTAGTAAAATATGCGAGTTCAGATTTCTGTGAGATGGAGGAGGAGGAGGAGGAAACAAGCTAGTAGAGACAGATTTTACTAATGCACTAATTCTCTTAGTTGGTATTATTCGGAAAAATTTTACGTCACCAGTAGAAAATGGTATCTTGTTATGAATAATAATAAGAATAGTGTTGGTATGCTCTCTTAAACATTCTTCAAATTAGAATCTATTACTAGTGAGTCGTATTATGTGACCATTTAACTGCTTTTAAATTTTACTCAACCGTTCAAACTAGGAAGAAGCGGTTTGCATCGTTAAGTCACCGCTGAGTTGTTCGTAAGGATAGAAAACAGAATTATCAGATCAAATTTGGGGATATTGTAACAGAAATGTGTTTTTGTTCAATAACTTGACTATCGTTTAAACTAGAAAGAAGTGTTTTGCCTAGTTAAATTTCTTTTTAAAAGCTCTACAAACTGGTTTTTACTAATTCGTGCTAGGTTGTCTGTAGAGCAAGATTGTAGGATTGTCAGATTGGATTTTAAGAGAAAACTATTTTTGCTAAATAACTTGACTATCGTTTAAACTAGGAAAAAGTGGTTTCCATCATTAAATTCCTCTTTAAAAGCTCTACAAACTGGTTTTTACTAATTCATGCTAGGTTGTCTGTAGAGCAAGATAGTAGAATTGTCAGATTGAATTTTAAGAGAAAAAGGTTTTTGCTAAATAACTTGACTATCGTTTAAACTAGGAAGAAGTGGTTTGTATAGTTGAATTTCTTTTTAAAAGCTCTACAAACAGGTTTTTACTAATTCGTGCTAGGTTGTCTGTAGAGCAAGATAGTAGGATTGTCAGATTAAATTTCTGGGGAAAAATGTTTTTGCTTAATAACTTGACTATCGTTGCAACTAGGAAGAAGTGGTTTGCATCAATAAATTCCTTTTTAAAAGCTCTACAAAATGGTTTTCAAACAGTTAACGTTGAGTTGACCGTAAAGCCAAAAAACATGATTTTCAAATCAAATTTGGGGATATTTTAACAGAAATAAGTGTTTTTGTTAAATAACTTGACTATCGTTTAAACTAAGAACAAGTGGTTTGCATAGTTGAATTTCCTTTTAAAAGCTCTACAAACTGGTTTTTA